CTGAGCAATACACATGGACTACCAGCACCTGACTTTGAGTGACTCCCATGGACACCACTCCCCCTTCCCAGCCTTTCCTTACAAGGCCTCGTGTTGGCTCCAGTGGGAGCCTCTTCCCATCTGTCCAGGCCCTTCAGACACACCCCAGGGGCAGCAAGGCCTCCACCAGGGAAACCACGAGCCTCCTGCACTGAGGTCTTGCAGCTTCACCCCAACTTTACAATTTCCCAGTAACCCTTCGGCCACCACCCGGCCAGCATAGTGAGTTCCTGATGGACAGCAGCTCGCAGCCCCCACCTCTGACCTCTTTGTTTCCGGTTTGGAGATCTGGTAGCCCCGCTCCAGCTCCAGCCGCAACCTCCGCTCCAGGCCCCACCTGCCAGGGCAGCCCAACACACTCAGCTTTGCAGGTTCGTCACCTACAAATTCCATCTTCGTCACCCACACTAGCACCCAGATGGTCTCTGCTGTCCCTCCTTCATCGCCCGGGGCACCCACTGCCTCTGGCTCTACAGCTGCCTCTGACACCCCCAACACTGGGAACGGGGTTTGGCCCCACATTGAGCAGCTCTGCTCCACATTGGGCAGCACAAGCCCAGCTCCATGAGGTTGGCAGTTTCAGCGGCGCCCATAGGCTCTGGGAGCAGAGAGGCGACCCCAGATCTGAGTTCCAAGTTTGTGTCACTCAGCAGCACAGCAGGAAGGAGAAAGGCCTGAGAACCACACACCCTATGGGGGGAAGCTTCAGCCTGAACAGGTGCGGCTCCCCTAGCCGGAGGATGCCATGGTGACCCAGGGACCCAGTGCTGGAAACAGGTGTCTCTTTGGAGGCACTGTTACCCCTCCTTTGAGTAACATCCCTGAAGAATCACCCAAGCAGAAACCTCTAATTCTAACTTGGGGGCCCAGGGCCACTGAAAGAAAGGCTGCCTCTAGGTGGGAATCCAGGTCAGGCTCTGACCCTAGTAAACCTGCTTCTCTCTGGGCACACAGAGAGGAAACCTCAATTCGACAGCCTCCCAGTACCTGTTGAGATACTGGATCACAGAACTGCATTGCCGTCCACCAGCTCATCCTCTTCCACATGGGAATCCATTCCCTTTGGGTCCAAGAAGGGAATGCAGGACTCAGAGGAAACCTTCCTGGAGCCAGTGTCCATCATCCTCCCTGGATAGACCTTGTGTGTCACTGATTTATTTTTTTCTTTTTATTTGTACAAATTTATGGGATACCTTGCAATTTTGTTACATGCATAGATTGTGCAGTGGTCAAGTCATGGCATTTAGGGTAACCATCACCTTAGTAATGAACCATGAATTAATTAACCAATTCCCCATCATCCTTTCCCTCCCACTGCCTCACCCTTCAGAGTCTCCATTATCTATCATCCTACTCTCTGCATCCCTGTAAAATTGCTCAGTGAACTGACAGAGACTGAGACAGAACTAAGCACGTAGACTTAGTAGCATGCAGACAAAAGGTAACTTACATAAGTGGTAAGAAACCCATTTCTATAGTTTCACAATGATTTCTGAGCACCTGTTTTGTTTCACAATGTCTCTCAGTGAGGACACTGAGTTTCTTAAATTTCATTTCCACCATATGTTTTTAATTCCATCATGAAATTGTGAAAGTAGCACACCTAGAAGTGTCTAGTGACTCAGGAAGAGCAGAAATGCGTGGGCTTGGCTTTTCTAATAAAGAATGGAATGTCAGATCCTTCTGCAGCTCCTCACCGTGGTGATTGCATGTTATGGGCACGTGTGAGATGTGCCTTCTCCAACTGTTCTTAACACATCAGCACCTTTCCCATCTAACAATAAAAAATAGAAGAAACTTCTTATTCTCAAATGTTCACTTTGCGTGTCCACACTATCAACTATATATGATGGGGCCGGTCCCTTTACTCCTATAACTTTTTTTTAACAGAATATAATAATGTGGAGGAAGTGATTTTGTTTTGAAACAAAACAGGTGCTCAGAAATCACACCCTTGTACATGTAAAAATAGATATGTCTGGATAGCAATGGTGGGAACCCGGAGTGAGGCTGTGTTGTGTATTTGATAATCCCCTGGTGACCTGTCACCAAGGCCATGCGCTGATTAGCATATTGCCTTTTATTCCTCCCGTCACCCTGTGAGTGGAAGAGTTTGCATTAGCAGTTGGCAATTTGAGAGGGTTGAACATACCGTCCTCCGCGATTTCCCATCTTGGAGAAACAGGAAAAATGGACAATGCTGGGGGCGCTGTCCGGGTGTGCACTGTTTGGGTTGCCCACATTCCCGTCCTCAGATGTCAGCACTTCCTCCCCTCTCCTTGCAATTGGGGAACATCTGCTTCCCAATTCCATCTGTGGTTCCAACTAGGGCACCCACTTTAATACTATTCCCACGCTCGCCTGAGACACGGGTGTGCTGTGATTCCCAAAGCTGGCCAAACATGGCGCTTCGGCCCATGACCCGCAAACACAGAACCAAAGTCCGATTTGTTAGAATCCTTCCCCTACACATGGAAGGAATGGATGAGGAAGATTTCTCCTTAAGGTTGACAAAACTGTAAAACTATGAGTTTGAAACATAGATATAATGGGTTTTTCCTCCACAATATGGAGAGAAACTTTCCCCAACCCTGCAGGGTCTAGGGAGGCATGAGGAGTTTGTAGAAACTGAGTCGTGGTGAGGAAGGATGTGAGCAGGAAGGTGCCCGCTCTGTGCAGGTGCAGCCACTGCCCCTTCCTATCAGGCCTGAGTTCACCCTGATCACAATGCTATGGAAAGTATGGTCAGTGAGACAGTGGGGGTCACTCTTTCCATTCATTCATCCACTGAAGCACCTGCAAGACGCCCCCATCCCCAGTTCATTCCCACTCATGCTCATCCAGGCTGTGTCAGTGGAAGGGAAGTTCATTCCTGGCTCAGCCATCCTGTGGCTGTTGGTTTGAATGTCCTGAGTCCTGAGCCAGCTTGAGAGCCAAGCTTATCACTGGTCACTTAGAGTAGCCAACTGGCCAGGAAGGCTCACCACGAGGCCATGACAGTGTGAAGATGCTGAGGGGAGGAGCTCACACCATTGAACTTGTCCTTCACGGAGGCTTGGTTAGGAGGAAACTGACATATTTTGGGTCAGGGATGAAAACTTAGAGGAAGGAGGCTGTGTTAGGATTTGAGGTCCTCTCTGGGATCAACCACATCTTCCAAGATATTACAGTGTGAGCCATGGGCACCTGGCTAAGACGTGTTTCATGAGAGGAAAAGGATCACCACATGTTGTGAATAATGTGAGCTTCTCCATTTCACTTTCCTGAAGCCATGCAAGCTCATTGTCTGTATTCAACCACTGCTACAAGTCTGGCCTGTTCTAAACAGTTAATGACTGAACGCATTAGGGCTCTTAGGAAGCACCAGTCTTCTCAAGGCTTTACTTGAATTCAATCAAGTTTAGCCTGATAAGAAAATAGCCGCCGTATTCATAGTTGAACATGTCAGAACAGAGAACTGAGGCACAGACAGGTCTATGCAACATTCCCAGTAGACGGCTCCTCAGCAGGACTGGAACCCAGCCAGTGAGGCTCCACGCACTGCGTTCTTGGTCACTGGTGTCTGCTGCCTGTCTATCTCATCCCCCCTGCAGGCGGGGATTCGCCTACACAGCCCGCAGAGTTCTAAGTGCAACACACGCTGCAGGGGGTTCCCGGAGCCCGACTCGGACACAGGTGGATTCCTATGCAGATGGTGAAAAAGGAGCAGAAGTTTCAACTGCGG